CAGAGACTGTCTCTTACAATGTATGTATACAGCACTTAGCACAACAGGGTCCTGTTCTCAGTTGGGGTTCTGCTGTAATACAAAATAATAATAATGATGCTTTATGGAAAAGCCTTTGGAATATAATGGGGACAAAACCAAGACAGTTGTAAAAATGTAACAGGGCTCTGTCAGCTAAATTACCAACCTTATCTCAGCCATAATAACCAAATCAAACCTCTTTTAACTTGTTTAAAAACTGCACCAAATTACAGTTTCATGCTGCTCACAGCCCAAACAGCAAAGCTGAACAGAATTGTCTGTGAATTTCACTTCACAAATGGACACAAGTTTGGACTCAAATGTATTTGGTCTTCTTACACTCTGGCTGGGTCAACCATACTCTAGGAACTGTAATTCTTCATCAGTACAACTCTTCTGTTGGTTAGGTCAGACTGTGCCTGAACCTTGCCTAAACTGTTGTTTTCCCCTTTGCTACCACCATAGGAGCTGCAGTAATGAGGAATTATAGTTCTCCTTTTTTTGCCAGTGTAGATACTGCTTTTCACTCTCCCCTTTCCTACTCCTGGTTCATTTCTCTACACCCTGAACCCAAACAGTCAGGTGCTTCCTGTCCATTTGCCTTGTTGACAGGAAGGAACTCCTGGTATGGCTTCACTTTTTATTAAACCTAATTGCTTGATTCTTGGGCGCCAGAGATTCAAGTGATTATTCTCCTCTACAGTTCCAGCAATGGCTCTTTAGCAGGTAGTTTTTACTTGAAGAAAATCATGCAGCAAAACTTGGGAAGTTTGAACAGATCAACTCTTCCTTTGCGTGCTGTTTAGATGTAATTTATCAACCCTATACAAGGTAACTTAAATCCACTACCCTGCATTCTTCTTTGAGTAGTGTCCCTATGGGTGCTCCACTTCAGGTGCGCCTGTGCCCTGTGCCTTTGATTGGAGATTTTGGGGAGAGGTGCTCATTCGGCCTGCTCATGTGCCCCACACATCCTCGTGGCCCACATCAAGCCCCCCTGTCTTTATAGATCAGTAAACCTTTGCAATGTATTCTCTGAAAAGTGAAACCCAGGCCAACCTTTTCTCCCGCTGGAGCATAGATGCCATGCTCTTGGCTTGATAGCTTTACCTGATATGTAGATATACCTTCATAGTCTCTGCTTGATGACTGGGATGGTCAGAGAAGCAAACATATTACTTTGTATAGGGCAGACCTGTTTACCAGCTCCCCTGACATGCCTGGTTTAAACACGCTTCAAATCATAATTTCAGCATATAGCCATCATTCTTAATACACACTACTTACATGCATCACACAAGACTATTAATGATCGTGAGATATTAGTTTTCAAATGATACCTCACAAGGCATATTTTATACAAAATTATTACAATAGTGTGTAGGGTGTGAATACAGGGCCAGAACTGCATTTTCTCTATTAGATTTCTCAGTGAAGACAGCCTTCCTGGTAGCAATCACTTCTACCCAGACCCCCCATTTACGGTACTCACCAGAAAGAAAATGTCACTATGGGTTGTTCCAAGATTTTTACCTAAGGTATCCTCAGAATTTCATATTAATCAAACCATTCATCTCCCATCCCCCCCCCCCAAAACCACATCAAAGTATCAAGAAGCCATATTCCACACCCTAAATGTCAGGAGATCATTAGCCTTTTACCTAGATTGAACCAAATCATTTAGAAGATCTTCTTACTTGTATCCATTGTGGACAGAAACAAGGGTTTGGTAATTTTGAAACAGGTTATCAAAGTGGATCTCCAGATGCACTAACTTCTGTTACAACAGAACTCATGTTCAACCCCTTTTGAGAGTGATAGCACATTCCACAAGATCACTATCTACATCTATAGCCTTACTTAAGGATGTACCAATTTCAGACAGCTGTAGAGCAGCCACTTGGTCCTCTGTTCATACTTTCCCTAATCACTATGCCTTGGTGCCTCCGGTAAGATCAGATGATGCTGTAGGCAGTGCAGTTCTCTCTTCTGTATTGGACTCTGCACTGAACCTCCTGCCTCCTTAGGGAAGTACTGCTTAGGAGTCACCTGAAGTGGAGCACCCACTGGAACGCTACTCGAAGAAGAAGGAGGAGTTACTCACTTTGTGCAGTGACTGAAGTTCTTCTACCTGTGTGTCCCTGTGGGTGCTTCCTACCTGCCCTCCATCCCCTATGCTTCAGAATCTCCCTTGGGGGACTTTGCAGTGGAGAAGGAACTGAGGGCGGTTCACTCACGTAGCCCCCTATAGCCTTGGCACGAGCACGAGAATGTGTGGGGTGCAGGCTGAACGAGCACTACTACCAAAAATCTCTGATCAAAGGCACGAGGGCACATGCATACCTAAAGTGGAATACCCAGAGGGGGACACATCTCAAAGAACTCTAGGTGAAAAATACTCTCCATATATTACCTGTTGAAATGGTTATTAGGGAGAGACAAAAAATGTGATTTTTTTAAAAATGTGTTTTTCTAGCTGTCACCAGCTAATCTGTTTTGCTCTGCTACGTATTGACCTAGTATATTTTGGCTACATATGATTTAGTATCAATGGATGAAAAAGAAATCCATTGAAATGTTTATTCTTTCTATTGACTTTGGAAAGGTACTTTGGAAAGCCGCATTAATCTACAACTCACTGAAGCAGTAAAATACTCCCCCAAGAATTTTCTTTTGTAAATAGTCTGCATTAAACTGTTGTAAACTGGCTTGCTTTCAAATATTTGAATTTACTCTTTTAGTCTTCATTATTAATTATAGGTTTATAGCTGAGAATAGTAACACTGGTGCCCACAGTTAGTAACCAAATGGAGTTGTCCTTGACCAGCAATAACAGGATGACATGAATTTAGACTATTTGGTGTGCTTTTGCAATGTTTGCCATTAATCTCCCATGAAATTGGAAGCATTGGGCCTGACTTTCCATTGCCCTGTCCCCTGTGTAGTCATTTGCTCCACTGCAAAGTAGCATAAAATGTTAAATGTTACACCCCCTTTGCGTTCGAATTGCACTGGTGTAATTGATTGCACAAGGTGCTGGGCAATGGAGAATCAGCACTGTTGAATGTATTTGGCTCAAACTGGATCCTGAAACACCATAGTAAAATGTTCTTCTAGTATTTCTCTACCCATTCACCAAATACACTATTTCCCTGAGGCCCAATAGTGAGGTCCTTACACAGACAGGTCAAAGATGGATCTTAATTTTTATTCAGTCCTGGCTCAGGCAAACTGCCACTGAAGTCAATGGGAGTTTGTCTGAGTAAACTGAGCCAAACTTAAATATGGACTTTAGGATTTCCCAGGATGTCTGTGTTGACAAATCTACTCCCATGAGAGCTTCATGGCATAGTGAAGTTAACTCAATAGCCATTTGTGGTAGGGAGATCATGTTGTCTACAGGCTGGGGTATCATGACTCCTGGATTCTGTTCTAAACTCTCCCACTGAATTGTTTTGTGAATGTCTTTGACCAAATTGATCAACCTTCTGTGCTTAGCTTGCCTCTCTTGTAAAATACCTGTGGTACTTGCCTCACAGGGTAATGTGAGTAAAGCTGGTTGGGAAATGATTTTTTCTCCCGTGAAAAATATTTTTTGTTGAAAATGTTCTTAGATTTGTTTCGGGGTTTTAATTGAAAAACAGAGAAAAAATATTTGGTTTTTGGCAAGTGAAAACTGAAAGATTTTGGTGTTTGGTTGGCAAAAAATACAAAGCAATTTTAAAAACGAAAATCTGAAGACTTTAACTGAAAATGGATATTTACGTTTTAGAAAAAAGGTATTGTGTGTTGAAAAAAGATCAAAAGAAATTTTTCTACCAGTTCTGCATATGAGACTCTTTGATGAAGATGCTATAGAAATATAAAGCTAGACACCTTGGTTCAAAGCTACTTAGTTTACAAGTGAAAATATGTTTGGTTTTAGCCTACTCCATACAAGATGTTTGCCAACATCACAAATATCTGTACTCAGTTTAGCATGACTGAAGATTTGCTGTAGCCAGGATTGCAATAGTGTTGGTGTCAATGGATACTGACAGGCCTGGGGCAAGGCATCCACTATATCTACATGCACTAAGTCTGCCTCCATGCAATATTATCAGTCCTTCACGTCCATGAAATAGTCTGCATATTTGTACAGTATCCAAACTCATGAGTCTCAACCAAAAAGCCTTTCTTTGGACAATTTTCCTGCTACCTCCCCATCATTCATCAGTGAACTGTACAGGCAGTCCTCAGACTTATGACACAATTGGTTCCTGAAAATTGCATCGTAAGTCGAAACGTCATAACTCTGAACCTCAATATACTCCATTGCGGGACTGAGCATAGTAAAGTTTAAACCAATTGTCATAAGTCAAATCAGGGTATCAGTTCAGAAACGTTGTAAGTGCCGTTCGTTGTAAGTCAAACGTTGTGAAGTCGAGGACTAGCTGTATTTCAAATAGTTTGTGCCTGTCAGACCATTCTGTTCTTTTAATAATGTAGCTTTTTTGAAGTCATATCCATACATTTTGTACAAATAAGACTCATAATACACCAGCCATTCTGTTAGCATTACATTTAATTTGGAAGCTCTTTTTATATCTACATTATTCTATTGAAAGTAATGTTTGTACTGGGAAAACTACTCCCTCAAGTCAGACTCAATCCAAATGCAGTTTACAACATTACCATTTAGGATCAAGCCTGGTACTCTTGTCATCTGTTCTGGATCCTTTTGAAGATTGGGTGTGATGTGGAAGAAAGGTCATCTCTCTTCCCCCCACCCCTCTTTCTTTAGTGAACTGCTAACCACATTATTTCCATTGCACTCTGCCAACTCATACAAATGGGGGGGAGGGAAAAAGAGGTAAGAGAAAACAGATAACTTCATTGCTAAGTGTACATTAACTTAAAAAATACACTAAAACCTCAATCTGAACCATGTTTGAAACTTTACTTATAATTTGCCTTTGTCTTGTGTTTTGTATTGATAGCCATATGAGGTAAGAGAAACTTAACATGCCTCGCAGTCCAACATCAAGTGAAGATGAGATGGCACAAAGCTTTTCAGATTATTCTGTCGAATCTGAATCAGACAGCTCCAAAGAAGAAACTATTTATGATACTATCAGGGCTACATCAGAGAAACTAAGCAGCAGAATGGAAGACAATAGGAGCAACACATTAGTGATACGAATTATAATACCTGACCTACAGCAAACGGTAAGGGGAATTGCATTATAAGGTTTTTAAATGTTTGGCCAGATCCTCAGCTGGGGGTAAATTGAAGTCAATAGAGTATTTCAATTTCTATCACCTGAAGATCTGGCTTATTATGCTAAAAATTTCATAGTGCACAAGACTGATGTCCTATTTTGTTTCGACCTCCACAGTTATGACCCAAGTGAGACACCAGAATGGGTGTTTGTCCTAAAGAGATTATACTGATAGGCAGCCTAACCAATATAGTTAGTCTCACATATGTACTTGATGCTGTGACCTTATGTCTAAAGTGTTTTTAAGAAGGGTCAGACCAGGGAAGTTTCAGAAGGTTTGTGAATGGCTGAGAACAAGAAGAGCTAGAGAACTATAACCACAGTGGAACATAGAGATTGAAAACAGAATTCAGATATCATCTCTAAAACTGCCTGGCACCTCACCATCTTTTACATTTTCTCTTCCCATGACACTGTAGAGAACAGTTTGTTAGCTTGTGGATGTGACCTTGAGGTGATGGTGAGACGCTCACCAAAATCTCTTCCCCACCCCAACCCCCACCTTACAAAAAAAAAAAAGAGAGAGAGAGAGAGAAGGAGACAGGTATGGATAGATCCCTCCTGCTGTTGCCATCCATCCCATCAGGCCTGCACCATCCTCAGCACATTCAGCTTGGGGAAGCTGCATAAAAATGGTGTTGGAGATGGCTGCCTGGACCTCACATTCCTGCTGCCCATCTGGGTACACATGCTATTTAAAGGTGACCTGCAGGGGAAACATAAAACATGCCCCCCTGGGGGGTTGGGATCATTGTGGTTTCATAAATACAAACTACCTACCCTTCCCTGCTCCCCAACTGTTACGTTAGCTATAATGATCTCATCTTGGAGAATTTCCTGGGAATTAATGATTGACTTTACCTAGCACTGTGAGCTGTCCTAGTTTATGATTAATTCCTTGGATAATCTTGGGCCTTCTTGAGCACTGTTTCCTAAATTAGCATTTTGATAGTTGACCGTAGGCATCATACTTTTTAAATTTATTTTTATTTTCAATGATGATTTTATAAATAAATTCTGTTCTGCAGACATGTGCTATGTCATTTCATGCTGCCATTTCGGGTATATGCATGTTAAAAGCTGAAACTATTTCTTCCTTTTTTTTTTCAATGAAGCAGTAGAATATAGAAGTCCTGTCTGGACTAGGGTTGCCAACTTTGTTTAATATTTAAAAACTGGACATTCCAGCAGGAGTGCCAGAACCTCCCTTGCCCGCCTCTTCCCCTGAGGCTCTGCCCCTGCCCCGAGGCCCCGCCAGGCCCTGCCTCTTCCCCCTGAGGCCCTGCCTCCTGTTTGCTCCTCTTCCTCCTCCCACCCCCATCACTTGCTGCTCTTCTCCTCTTTCCTCCCCCGCTCCTGTCCAGTTCGGAAGGGACTCACCTGTGGAGCTGGGAGCTGCAGCTGGCTGACACAGCTAGGAGGTAGTCCTGGCTGAGATGGGGCTGGTACGAGTGATGACCTGGCATCTTCCCTATCTGCAGTAACCATATTTTTGGTGTCCTGTCAGTAGCTCTGATCAGACACCGTGAAGTTCCCTGTTCGACCGGACTTTCTGGTTGAAAACTGGGCACCTGGCCATCCTAGTCTGGAAGCTGACAGGGAGAGGTTAATTCTCTCTTCTTAATAAGGAAGGCTCTTAGGCTATGACTACACTAGAGAGCTTACACTGGCACAGCTGCACCGATGCAGCTGCGCAGCTGTAGTGCTGCTAGTGCAGATGCTCTGAACAGATGGGAGAGAACTCTCTTGTCGACTTAATTACTCCAGCCTCCATGAGTGGCAGATGCTATGATGGCAGGAGAAGCTCTCCCACTGACAGCGCTATCCACACCAGTGCTTAGGTCGATGTAACTTTTTCACACCCTTGAGTGACATAACTTACACCAACTGAAGCTGTAGTGTGTACCCAACCAAAAAAATTGAAAAAATATATTTGCTTCCGGTCAACCCAAAACGAACATTTTTCAAATTTTTCAGCAAAATAAAAAAGTCAAAAAAATGTTGCTTCACATCAAACTTGTTTAAACTGAAATGAAACATTTCATTTTATTTGAGGTTTTTTATCTTTAAAAAAAATAAAATGGAAATAAATTTTGAAAAAAAATAGCCATTTCAAATTCAAAAATCTATACATTTCATTTTGAAAAATTCAAACAGAAACATCTTGAATGGTTTGGATTGTGCGGAATGGGGGTGGGGAAACAATTTAGTAAATTTAATGTGAATTTTCAAAATGTTTAGGCCCACCTGAGTGTGCATTTTTTGGAAAAATGAAGTTTTGTCCAAAAATTTTACTCAGCTCTAATCTAAGTGCTTATGTGCTCCCCATCACTGCCAAACCACTTTATGTACCTAAATAAAGACCAGATTTTTACAAGTGTTCAGCACCCAGCAGTTCCTCCTGTGACATTTGTGGCCAGGTTATTCTGAAAGTCTGGCCCTAATGATGGACCCCAAGCTCTTTTTAAAATTTCAGCCCAAGGTCACATAAATCTGTGGTGGAGTTGAGTAGGGTTACCATATTTAACAAATAAAAAAAGAGGACCCTCCACGGGGCCCTGGCCCCGCCCATTTCCCAACCCCGGCCCCGCCCCAACTCCGCCCCTTCCCCGCCCCAACCCCGCCCCCTCCTCCCTCCCACTCCCAGCCACGCGAAAAGGGCTGCCTGAGCACTACCGGCTTCACGGTTTGCCGGGCAGCCCCCAGACCCTGCGTCCCCGGCCGGCGCTTCCCCAGCGCAGTTGGAGCCCGGGAGGGGAAGCGCCCAGCCGGGGGCGCAGGATCTGGAGGCTGCCCGGCAAACCGTGAAGCCGGTAGCGCTTGGGCTTCGGGCAGCCCCTATGCCTCCGGACCCTGTGCCCCCGGCCGGGCACTTCCCCTCCCGGGCTCCGGCGGCACAGGGTCCGGAGGCATGGGGGCTGCCCAAAGCCCGTAGCGCTCGGCTCTGAAACAGAGCCAAAGAGTCAGGGGAGGAGCAGAGCCGCTGCGGCCGGAGGCTCTGCTCCTCCCCTGACTCTTCGGCTCTGTTTAAGAGTCAAGCTGCCCGAGCGCTTCCGGCAGCCCCCATGCCTCTGGACCCTGCGCCGCCGGAGCCCAGGAGGGGAAGTGCCCGGCCGGCGGCTGGGGTCCGGAGGCAAGGGGGCTGCCTGAAGCCCATAGCGCTCGGGCAGCTCGGCTCTTAAACAGAGCTGAAGAGTCAGGGGAGGAGCAGAGCAGCCGCGGACGGGGAAGTGCCCGGCCGGCATTTTCCCGGACATGTTCGGCTTTTTGGCAATTCCCCCCGGACGGGGGTTTGATTACCAAAAAGCCGGACATGTCCGGGAAAAACTGGATGTATGCTAACCCTAGAGTTGAGTATTGTGCCCAAATCCTCTGGCTTGCTAGAACACTGCTTTAAACATGCAACCATGCCCTGTTCCTGCTTCCACTGAAGTCAATGGCAGAACTCCCATTGACTTGTATGGTACAGGGTTAGGTTGTATACTGTTTAATGATTGGGTTCTAAGAAGGGGAAGTGCTATGGGGTGTTGGATCTTGAGTAAGAAAAGGAGGTTCTCTAGGAAGGAGCTGGAGCTGAGGAGAGCCAGGGTGGTTTTGCTGTTTTACTCTGGAACTTGGTTGCATTGAGCCTGCAGACTTTTGTTTTGGATTTGGCAGACGGAAGTCCTGTTGTGTTTGACACTTAAATGGATCATTTGTAAAAATATTTATGGCTTGCAATAAAGTCCTCCACTGTGGTTTTTAGAGTCTACCTTGGCATGACTAGAACTCTATTCCTGCTCCCACCAGCCTATCTTTTGATTAAAATGGCTACATCAAGTCAGTTTTACACTTAATTGTTGTTACACCTTAATTGTATTGGTGCTTTGCAGCATGGCTCTAGATTTTTATTGTTTAATGACTTAGGCCCCAGAACTTTGATCTGAGCAGGCAGATTCCTACACCTGAGCATAACCCCACTGTCCTGACCACTTAAAAATGTTTAAATTTATTAACTCTGGACCGAAAATGGATTTGTGAATATGGGCCATTTTGCTGCATTCGTAGAACTGCATTGCCTGCTAATAGCTTTGTTACAACACAAAATCCTCTTCATGTGAATGGTCGAAACTGACTATTTTGCTTTTTTTAGCAGTGACATTTCAAAGGCTTATATAAAGGTGTTGATGAGGTGCTCCAGCTTTGCTTTGCTGTTACTTTGTTGTCGTAGATTTAATTTAGCTTTTTTATTTTGTCCATGCCTTATCTATCTCCCACACATTTCAATTCTCAATAGACACTGTAGTATTACTAAAGGATTTGAATTCCATTTAACAGTGCTCCTTTGCTATTAAAGAGTGCTAGAAAGATACTAGCTGTGTTGAAGAGCTCTCAGTTTATGAATTATTTCTGATATGTAATAATAATAAAATTATTTGATAACCCTTTCTACTTCTAGTCCTACCCATCTCAAAACACTTTATAAACATTAATGGACCAGATGCAGCTTTCAATTACTCCAGATTAGGGCTGGTTGAAAAAATTCCATCAAAACTTTTATTCAACAGAAGATTGGGTTTTCGATTAAACAATAATTTTATCAGAAAGTATCTGCTTTCCTCAAAATGTTCATGTTTTTGTACGGGGAAAAAACTCCAAAATGTTCTGGGTTTGGGTTTTTGTTCTTCCAACAAAAATGATTTTTTTCTCATTTTCATCAAAAATGTACATAAAAATAAACCCAATTTTCCAAACAACCGTAACTCCAGATGTACACTAGCAGTGAGATGAAAAGTAAGCCCAATATATTAAATACCACTGTGAGGGTAGGACTGCAGTATTGTTTCCATTTTACAGGCCAGGAAACTGAGACTTAGAAAGATTAAGTGAAGTGCCTTAGGTTACACTTAAAGGCTGTGGCAGAGCCAGGAATAGATTTCAAATCTCCAGTTCTGTATTTTAGCTACA